GAAACACTTTTTGTACGTAATATGTTGCTTTGTGTATTTTGGTGCTTGGAATATCACACATTTACAAAAAGCATGGAATTATTCACAAATAGTATTTCACTCGAGCCTGACTATATAACCAGTACAGTGCTCCACAATATAATGTAATGTTAAAATTTCTTAATTGCGTCCTGCGATGCAAATAAAAATCCATTGGGACATAGCATTACGTTACATTACATTTTGCTGACGCTTTTATCCAAAGTGACTTACAACTGCCTGGGTCTCCCACACCAAAGTCATGTGTCTTATCCTCTGTCCCATCCCCACCCAAATCCGGGGGACCAATCCAGTGTTTGCAGACACTTCAATGTGTGAGCTAAAGGAAATAGGATTTCAGAAGTAACTCAGTGACGTCACACCAGCAGCAACTGGGGACCACTGATCCATCTATCCCATGCTGGAGCCTCACTGTGTGGCTAGAGGGGGGAGGGATAGTTTTGCATCAGCACCACCTCTGTTATTGCTGATGCAGGCAGCCCATTATGCATTCAGAACGCATTCATCCACTGCAGTGTCAACTGTGCCACCTGCTGGATACCCAACAACGTGCATCAGCTTCCACAGGGGCGTTTTCTTCTCACCGGGCGATGGCGACATGCCAGTGAGGTAAAAATAGTTAGTGAACGTTTCTCCAACACTCCACCCTTTTTTAAATGCAACACTAAGATGGCTGTTATTGTGTCTTCTCATAATGCATTAATGGACCTATTATAATCTTGCCTCTTTTAATTATCTCTGTTGTAGGTGCTGGATTATTCATGCTATATAAGGCTGGCCAAGAGAGTTTCCTGATTAACAAAGCCTATTATGCATGGATGAAAGGTTTCTACTGTATTTGGCTCACCTGTGGGTGATCCATGTCAGACTGTCCATTAATAACCAGGGAACTTTACACTGCGCCGCCCTCACATCAGTGATCACTGTTACCATGTAGCACATGCATTTCATAGACAGTAATAAATGCCATTTACAGTTGTAGACTATTGCCTTGAGTAAGTAAAGCCAGACCAGCCTTATACCTCAAGAGGTCACATTTACAGTAAACAGTGGTTCATGTACATATATTACACAGTTATCCCTGGGATCAAAGCTAGGACTGCAGAATGCCAGACAACTACACACACACACACACACACACACAAACAAATGCATACAGAGCATGCAAGTGCCAACATTTAAGCTATACACTCTTTGCACTGAATGACGATCTGCAGACACGTAGCATGACAGAAAATACTAACAACCAGGATGAACCCCTCAGCTCTTTTGGAGCATAGACAGACCATCCTATCTATCTCTGGATAATGACAAGCACTTCACCAGCTTGTTTCTATTTTAAAATGTTACAAAACAGTTAGAACCTTCTGAACAACAATGCTGTGCAACCAGGTTCACTTCTTCAAAGTGGATTTCACTCATGCCACATTAACATTCCTGTGTTGGAGCCACCCTGAACACACATAATTATGTTTTCACTACAACTTTTCGTTCTTTTTGTAAGTATTACGACAATTTACAAAACATCTTGTCAATATACAGTCCACAGGAATCTTGGGTTGCTTTATGTAGTTTCTTTGAGGTATCATCAATCACATGGTGACCTCTGGATAACATCACGCTCAACCAGTGAAATAATGCAGCATTGTTTACAGTGTGGAAACAGTGAACACGATGTTTCTGCTTTGGTAGATTGATGGTTCAGAAAAGTCATGAAAGAATTTTTCCAGTCCAAGAAAATTGGATTTTAGCTCTCACTGAAGAAATTAAATGGCTAACATAGGCCTTGATCTTTGATCTAGGGTCAGTTTGCAAAGAAATCCTTCCTTGAACCTGGGCTATTAGTCATAATCAAACTATAACTATAAAACAGAAGGAGTTGCTGCTGTCTGGGGTATTTGCAAAAAAGTAAGTGCCAAGCAATGATAATTTTACTACTGTGCCTGGCACACAGCCAGAGAATACATAAGGTCTGCAAATCTCGATTTGTCTTCATGCCCATGTTGTAATCCTGATGTAAGCCACCATGTCACTTCCTCATGTACTGTTGCTTGGCAAAATGCAGCAGGTCTGCCCTTGCATATGGGTTTGCATTATATAACTATGGAGATGGACAGTAATTAATCTTTCTGAGTTTTTCAACATTTGCAGTAACCCTTTTTGGCATCTGGGAGTTATGGTTGCATAACTCGTGCACAGGTCAGATGTGAGGGGTAATCGCTCACTGCCATCCAATTAAAATGAAGTAATCACTGAGCAACAACTTATCAAGTCCATTTCAGACGCCTACTTGTGCACAAAGAGTACAAACAGTACAAAGAGTAGTCAAACTGCAATACATGACTAAAACCACAGCCCCTCGTGGTATCAACAAACAACAGTTGAAGAGGGGAAAAGCAGATGACTGAAATAATTAATAAAATTAAATGTAACTTCAATCAAAAATGTCTAAAAGTAGAACAATTTACTTAAACATTGCAATAGTGCATTATATCCATGCACTATTGCAATGTGTATTGTAATGGTCAATTTTATTACTCATTGATTAAGCAAGCATCATTAAACTGATGTTACATTTACAAGTATGCCACAGCTAGGATGTGCGGCTGTACTGGGAAGTGGGTGAATGAATGTTTCAAATAGACTGATCTAGATACAGCTTTTCTCCTGCCCTACCTGTAGCGACATCGTTCAGCTTCTCACTCAGATAATATTCATTTGGGTCAAGGTAGGGCAGCTGCTCCATGTATTGTTTAGGAATGAGGTACAGGACCTCAGCCACATGCCCATCTTCGATGATGGACATGCGCTTGACCGAGCTCTTGCGTTTCACCCGGACACGGTCGACATTGTGGCTGCGGCTGGAGCTGCAGAGCTTGCCCAGGCTGTTGAGATTGGGCAAAGTGGGCATGGTGCCCTGCTGCCCTTCAACGGTCCCACAGAGAGGGGTGAAATACTACAGGTAGGCGTCGTCCAGTGTTGGGTTCAGACCCGCTCTAAAATCCAATAACTTTTGGACATCAAGAACGTGGGGTGTTCATAGAGGCACAAAAACGAAACAAAGAAGCCAGAGACTGAGGGACAACTTCACAGCAGCACATCATAAAATCATGGCAATATCCAGTGAGGCCACCGGAAGACTCTCCTCCTGTTAGGATCCCTCCACCTGTCACTTCAGAAATGCAGTGGATGTAAGTGGAGTGCTGATGTCCACCTTTAGGTGGAGATGCCAAACAGCACGCAGCAGGTATGAAAAAGCACTGTCATACGTGTGAGAAGCAGGGAAAGAAGCTTACACTATGAGTGTCTTCAGCCCAACCAGCCTGGTGGCTTAAGCAGCTTAGGGCTGACGTTCAGCCTATGATTATCTTCTGGGTGGGGTTAGGTAGCTCTACATCAGGTTGGCCCAGTGTACGGTGGGAGTATCTATACCTGATGACTCATGCGCACCCCAATCACTGCTCTGCTTATTCACATCATTCCAATGAAGAGTAAACACATTTTAGGTCAAAGTAAGTCCTTTCTGAGAAAGCATTTTAGATGTATCTATTTAGATGCCATTTGGTTCATAAAGGTGTTTTTGTGTGAATGTACCTTGCATTAAGGTGGGACCAAATGGATGCATATCAGTGTACAGCATCACAATGAGCCAAGACATACTGTCAGGGTCGATTGCCTTGGGACTCTGCCAGTCCTTTACAAAGTCAACAACCAGCAAGGTCATTCGAGCAGGCAACAATGCACTAACCCACTGTGAATCATCAGCAGATCCTTCACAATAAAAGATGAAGAGGAAATGCCAGCAGTAGCTCTTCATTATCTGGTGAAACCACCAGGTATAGGATTTTGGAAGATATAACTTAGTAAGAAAACGCATTCTGAGATTTTAATGTTCAAACCATCTAATGCTGGGACAAATTTGTTTCTGCAAGGAGTTCCAGAAAGTTTTCTTGACACACCAAATCCATATAACCAACATCTAGCTACTGAATTTTTACAAGCAAGCCCTCTTTCTTGAGTCAAAGTGTTCCAAGGCCCTTTGGTAATGTGAGTTTGGCATGAAGTACATTTTGAGTCATCGGTATGTCCTGGTGGGAGGTGAAAAGATCTATCTAAGCAAACTCCACAAAAAGCAAGATAACCCCCACAGTGCTCTCAGTGTCAAAATGGTTTCTTAAAACATAAAACACTGCGTTGCTAAGACAGGACTGTCTCATTCAAATAGTAAAAACAGATTAACAACTAAAAGTAGAAAAACTGGAGAAAAAGGCTCCCTAGAGCCTGATATTTATCAATCAGATGACACTAATAACAGCAATCTACCTTATCCCACTAAATTTTAAAAAAACCATTGAGGTACATAAGTATGATGAAAAGCACAGCAGACAATGACAAAGCACAAAATATCCTCGTAGTCTGGAGATGTCGTGCTTGGCCAGCACTTCAAATTTAATGATTTTTCTCTTTGTGTGAGATGGTACGCAGAAGCAGGATGGCTGGAGCTTGGCTAAGTTATCTACGATTTACATCAATACAGTATTTAACTCATTTGACTTATTCAGGTTCCACTTACAAGCACACCTTCACTCTCCCATTCAGAAAGCCAGAGTTTAGTTCCAGAGGAAAGACAAAGTGTGGTAGTGAGGTATAAGCAAGTAGACGCACACTCCTACACCCACGCATGCAGACACATGGACCTGAGAGTAACTAAGGACATGCTATTCTGCTGCAGTGAGGCACTGCCCTCCAATTGTCATCCACTCTGTGATAGCTTTGACACAACTACCCACACACTCGCAAATCAGCATGCTCAGAAAACAAGGCTGCTGTCTCTGCGCACAGAAGAATCGGCATCGCTCACAAAATACATCCCAGACATTTTCATAGCCTCTGTCGTTTCTGCCTCCCGCTCTCCGCTGGAAGAAACACCCCCTCCTCCTCTTTATTTCCCTCCGTCTTACCATCCAGTCCGAAGCAGGAGGTGATTTTTTGGGCGTAGTTGCAGAGCCCGTCGTAGCCAGGCTCCTGCCACGCTGTGTCCTTCTCCCCCATCTCTACACACTCACACACACACACCGTCCAGTCCGGCAGAGCTTTTACTCCTTCCCCTGCTCCTCATCAATTATTCAGGCTTTTGCCAGGACACATGCATACGTGCGCACACCGACCCCTCATATTCGCACATAGAGTATATAAACACACACACACACACACACAGAGGCAGAGAAAAGTGCTGATGCAGAGGGTTGTGCTACTGGAGCATGAGCAGCCCTCTCCAGTGGTCAGATAAGGAGGAGGCATCAGATTATGTTACTGCAGAATGGAGCCATGCCTCCTTTTTCATCCACCATTGATCATCCAGATTACACTGCAGTGTAACAGGTATGGTGTGCAGGATGTGCTAACCCTGCTCAAGGAAAGGGCGGGGCGGAGAAGGAGGTCAGAGCAGGGCAAAACTGGAGATGTACCAGGTTTCAGGGGGAGGGCTTTCTTTGCTGCTGGTCACTTAAAGCTATCCAGACCATCCAAATGCAATGATTACTTTCAGATTTGATTACTGAAATAAAAAGCAGGAAAAACAGTCTATCCAGGAACCAGGGAAGCATGGCCCCCAAAGAAATGTTACCCTCTATTCCTTTAGGCTGACAAAACTCTTTTTTACTACAACGCATAATAAGAAGTAGTGCTGATTGCTTAAAATAAGTTATAATTTAATGTAATGTTTTTCACATTGCGGAGAGTTAGTTGAAATGTCCTTAGGAAGAGGGGAAAACACCTAAAATACAACAATTCAGCACACTTTACTACAATGCCTTCAAAAAGGCCCATAATATCGTATATAAAATATAACATGCCAACTTATGCAACAACCCATGAGTAGCAGAAAACTGAATGAACAACATTGGCCCACAAATGTCTTCCAACATGTTGTTTTAATGGATCAAGATGAACAATACCCACATGTGAAAAGCCAACCTAAACAGTGAATAACCAATTGCAGCAGAACAGCATGATGCAGGAATTTGATAAGAAACGTCCATAAATACCACTCCCGAGGTGACCTTGAACAAGGCTCGGGTCGAACTGCTCAATGGCCATCAATGGCAGACTCACTGAGCAGCTCAAAGGTAGGAGTGAAAGTGAAAGCACTACTTGAAATAATATACAGTATGTGTTCTGTCAACATCCCCAGGATAATGGTTTTATTAAAAAAAATAAACAAATAAAGGTTTTATTTAAAAAAGGAATCATGTTAGGAGACTGTAGTCGACAGAATAGAGGACGGAAATATGATGACTCTGAAAGACCCAGATTGAGCAGTCTCCCGCAAGGGTGTACTACAAGGTGGGATGACTAATGGAAGGGCATCACTGCCAAGGTAAAAGCTGATGGCCTTGTGCTGATAACAGGGGTGGGGGGTGGGTAACTGCATGACTGAGAGCACAGAAATGGCTAATGCTTGCTGAACAATAAGGTGGGGGGACTTCCTGTTTCTCTGGCAAAGAAAATGTTTCAATTACCTAACGTGTTTCCTGCCTATAGATTTCCTAATGATGCTAGACTATCTAGAATAACACAACCAGAGGTCAACAATCTAGGCTGAACCTGAAACTATATATTTATACCTTAAACACAAAGGGGGTATCAGGGATAATGCCCATCCTTTGAGGTAATCCACATCAGGTCTGCAAATAACAATTATTTTCATTTTTTGATTTATCAGCCCATTATTTTCTCTATTAATCGTTTCCTCTACGAAATGTCAGAAAATGATCAATTTCTTAAGTCCAATCTGATGTCTTCAAATGCTTGTTCTGGCCAACCAACAGTCCGCAACTCAGAGATATTATGTTATAGGAAGAAAACATATTCAGCCAATCCAAACATGAATTGTGAATTATTAAACGTTGTGTCCTCTGAAACTTTGTGTAAGTTCTCCAGCACATGTGAAATGGGAGTACCACAGCCAGTGCAATTAAAGAAGCATATGCGTTTGATTTGATATATTGTTACAAAGACTCATGTTTGTGTCAATGTGCCTGATTTATTCTGTGATAATAAATTAATAACCTACACAGAACCTAACCAACACAGAGTGATAATTGGCACTTCACAGTGTGCAACTGCAGGGTGCAGGGTACTTCTCATGAATAATGATTGGCTGTTTGCAGGGGCTTAAGCGTGCTAATCAGATCTATGTACCACAGGGGGTCTGTCAAGCGGTGGGCTCTGAGGTCCATCACTCTCCACCAGCAGCCACAGAGGACAGATACAGTTGACCACATCATGATAGGGAAAGGGGATGTCAGACCATCTGATCACAACCTATAGCACGAACAACTGGATGCTCTTTATTGCTCCTGCTAGAGGATAAAGTCACCTGACACAAATCCAGGACAGCACAAAGTTCCACCTGATGGGAACAAACACTTCCTGCCTGTTTGCTGGTATCACTTGTTTTTTATGCTCATCAAGAAAAGAAAAGATCTCCACAACTCAGAGGTTGAGATTGTTGCACCATAAAGATAAGGTACTTTTTGTTACCTGACCAGCTTGTGACCCTCAAGTTGGACTAGTCCCACAACCAGTCAGTTAAGAAGGTGGGCTACACCACACCAGTTCATCCATCAACAGCTTTCATTTGGGCAGCAATTAGAGTGTGTTCACCAGTTAACTGATGATGCAACAGCCCTAAAGAGATAATATCAAACGTTAAAAGAAACAGAGGAAGCTCATTATCACAGCTGGGGTTTTTTAAAAGTGACATCTATTTATAGGTTGGACCAGCGTGCAAAGTGTTCATATTAACCATACAAGTTGTAGGCTGTCTATAAAAAGGCTGCAGCAGTGGAAGCTATAGTTTCAGCTATGCACCGGTGTAACCTACTTACAACAACGGTGTCATTACCACAGCCTCATCCTCCCGAAAGACGACGCAAATGGGCTCTCTTCCCCATTGCATCCATCCTTAAACCAAGGACCCCCTCCCCCCAGTAAAATTAAGAGACTTTTTTCCTCTATATGTATTGTTATGAAGGCTTCTGCGGCAAAAGATACTCACCTCTAGCAGACATGCCCGGTAGGTAGAGCCTCTCTTTCTTTGCCGAGATTAACAGGAGGAGATGCCCCTGTGCAGCTCTGAAGGGGGGAGAAAGACCAGTTGACAGCCTGATATTGTCTGTACTTTAAGTTTTTGGCTGTCATTAAGAGGGTTTAAACGCTGGGAAACATATACAGCCTGCGATTTGGTAGACTAGACTAGACTGCGCGATGGAGAGAGCACTTTCCAGCGACAGGGCGTGTCCTGGAACAGACAGCATCCTTCTTATTTTCCAACAAGTTTATGTCCATATTTGAACATAATATCACAGAATTACGGCTATAAATCAAATCATTCTTGAAATTCCTTGCCCCCAGCTGCAGTCAGGTCAGCTAATCGTTAAACCGGTTAGCCTACTTTTTGCCTGGGATGATGACTGTGCTGTTCTGGACGTGGTAGTTAAGCTAAATCATAAAGTTGTCAGGCACTCTGGAGCAATGGTATTGTTATTCAGTCCCCCCCTTCCCCAATTATCCGGCTACTTTAAGGAAAACATCTTTATCACGTGGATTCTTTAACTTCATCTTAAAAGCAGCGAGACTTTAAGCAAGCACAACCTCGGCACAACGTGGGGGAAACACTGCAATTTCAGAGAAGTAGCCCACGTCAGTGCATTATGTAGGAGCATTTTTCCATTGATTTACCAGTTTTTCCATATAACCTATATTGCTTGGCTATCGGAATCCCATACTTGCTTTTATATTTGAAGTTGGCTTATCGATTGTTGTTTCCAAGCTGAACATATTGATCACCGTCCCTCATTGAATGCGGGCTCTTGGTTGCTGTCATCATTTGTATGCATTGATCGTTGTCAGTAATTAAAAGCCTGTGTCTTGTATGCCCGCGCCCCCTGGTGGTTTAACACAGTAGCGTTTGGCGAGGGAAGTGCCACCGTGTCCAAAGCGAGCGTCCCTTACTTGAGTCTGTAACGTTAGACGTCTTGTTTACAGTGGCTGTGCCAGGCCTGTGAGGTGGTGTGCGGCAAGCAACGTGTGTTACGGTTTTATTACTTACATTTATTCTTTCGTTACAAGGGTCATTATATGAAACCTCCAATCTGGATCGAGGCGGTAGTAACAGGAAGAAGAAGATAGAGGAATTCTCTAGGTCTTCTCGGGAGAAACTAGTCCAGTCGAAGAACAAAATGTTCTCCAAATTTACCTCCATTCTCCAGCACGCTGTGGAAGCGGTGAGTTGTTGTTTTTTTTTTTATTATCAAAAGCATTTTTATCCATCATCTGTTTTGGTTGAAATGGGCCTTTGGTCGTCCAGACAACACACATCACGTCACCATTAGGGATATGTTGCTAACTAGCGCGCTAACTAATTAGCCTAAGCTAGTGTTAGCGTTTTGTGTTTGCGCTGTCAATTCGTTTGTTCTTGTTGGCAATATTACGTTAAACACGAGGGTTTGCTTATTTCTCTGTTCGTTTATGTTACTAACTAGCATATTTCCATACTGCCATTTTCTGTATTGCAGCAAGGCATCTGTGTTAAAGGTAGTTTGGCAAGCCGAGCTAGTTAGCCGCTAATGTGAGCTGAGAATAGCGTCAAGAAGCTAAGCTGGTGCCTTAGCTGGCTGTCTCGTTTCAAACAGCAGGGTTATCTTAAGGAGTGGTGTCGAAGCCATTGGACAGCCTCGTTTGAAGTTTTCTAACGTTAAAATTAACGGGATAGTCTGCGGATTATATTAAGCAGACTTTTTGAAAAGCTTGTTGTTTTTCGTCAGCCAGCTAGTAACCAGCAGTAACCTGCCTGAAACCATAGACTGTATAAAATGTTTTCAAGCTGCTTCATGTTGGGTTTCAACACAGACTTTTGGTAGGTGACCTAAAGTTAATGCTTGACTTCAGGCGTAGATTAATGGAAAAACGTCTGATCTTGTCTTGTTAACTTATTATTTTGCCAGCTTGTTGGTGTGTAAGTTATACAAGTGTAAACTTTTGTCACTTGAAAATGATAGTTTTCCCTATTATTAAACATTTTTGAAAATTGCTGGACACAGTGACCAAAATCATCTTGTAGTGGCACACTGGAACAATTTAAGCACTGACAAGATATGTAGGAGATTATGCTAGAATGCACATATTGGCCTTGCACAAACCAGCCCCCCTCAGTCTCTACTTGAACTCCTTTGAAGGTGACTGAAACATGTAAACATGCTGCCATGATAATGAGTGGTGTCTCTCTGGGCCCCCAGTGTAAACAAACAATATGCTTGTGTTTGCGATTTTTCTTTTTCAGCTTGCCCCATCGCTGCCCTTGCAGGAGGACTTTGTCTATCACTGGAAAGCCATTACACATTATTACATTGAGACTTCTGGTAAGAATAAGTTAACACTTCTTATGGTCATGAAATCCCCAGAGGTAGACTTGATTGTTGTACAGGTTGCCTTACAAGTTGTTGATATGTTTTGTACCAACTTGTTCATACTGTTCATGCTGTATGTAACATTATTATAGTTACAGTGATGTATTTACTGTTGATTAATCAGCTTATTATTGTTTTTATTCAGTATTTTAAAAGATAAGTGCACATTACAACTTACCAGATCCAAGAGAATTGCCTTAAACCTTATTTAAAAGCATGCAAATGGAAGCATTTTTAAGCTTTAACCAGCTAACATTTCATATTTACATTACTGAACGGATGATCATGTCTATCAATTAATTATTCACCTGCTCATGTAGCAACACTATATACAAAATGAGCACAGGCAGTGCAAAGAGAATGGTTATGAAAACAAATGAAAGGGCGGAATTGCAAAGTATGCTGGGAATGCCATGCTGGTTGAGTTTGCAGTAGACTTCAGCAGCTCTGTCCGGACCTAAGCAGCCCCAGACAATGAGTGTTTCCTTCGTGTTTGCATTTGGGATCTGCGCAAGTAGATCTCCTACGCTCTGCATCTGTGTCAGGTGGTTAAATCCAGTCATGAAACAGAATGACATCTGCTCAAACTCCTGATAACTAGTCTCTGTATCTTTTGGGCCAGGAAAGTCTCCTTCTCTTATTCTTCACTCTAAGCATTCGCTTCTTTGCAGCAGTTCTCCTAGTTAGGCCATTCTAACAGAATGTACTCACCAGCTGATGGGGGATTATCTGTGCTTATTATTATGAGTATTATGCAGCTGAGCTTATTTTCAAGGGACTTGGGTCTCAAACTTGAGCTTGATCTATTAATCTGAGGGCAGCCTGACCATGATCAGTCCACATGTTTACTGATTTAAGGAATTATTTGATCATTTTGATGAAATCTGTTGTGCTGATTTATATTACAAATTAACCTTCATTTTACAGACTGTCGTCACTGACCATTATTTTTTGGCATTGTGTGCTTTGTTCATTCAGCGTGACATACACGTGTTAATCCTACCTTGTTAAGCATCATCGGTGACAAACAAGGATGGCATACACAGGCCACTCTTATTATTATTATTATTATTATTATTATTATTATTATTATTTTAACTCTCATTAACTGCCCTGAGCTTTGTTTGAGTTTTGCTTTGATTGAAAAAGAAAAAGCTTATTAAAATTCTAAACATTTAATTTCAATGTATGCAGCATTCATTCAGTTAATCAGTTGATGTTACCCACCTTGCACAATATTGCCTTATATATTACTGTTTGCCAGCAGCCATGCTCCCTCCATTTTCTGGGTTAAGCTGAGTTTGATGCACACGTTAGATTGTTGTCAGTAACTCACTACCTTCTGCATGTTCTTCACAGTAAATGTGTTTACATGTAAAGTCAGTCATAAGATTTTACTGTGAACCCCCCTAGGAAAGTGTTTAACATGCCAGCGAGATTAGCTACTCCTACCAAAAAATCTGTAAGGATGAAATGGATTATATTTCCTCTTTTGCAGTGCACAGGAGCGCATCAAAAGATAACATGGACTGCGTTACATCTTATATACAACAGTGAACTTTTTGCAGCTGGACTAAAATCAACAAGATTGAACAAGGGCTAGGTCATTTTTAGAGTTGTGTGTTTCTGAGCAGAAAGTTGAAAGGGAATAAACTTGCACTGGTGAAGTGGTTAGATGAAGGGTGCAAGAGCTTTTTATGCTTTAGGCAAACCTCAAACTTCCAACTTTTCCTTATGTTCGTGTCGTAGAGGTTCTGACCTGTTTGTTCTTTTTTCCCTGTTAGATGACAAAGCCCCAGTTACAGACACCAACATCCCATCCCACCTGGAACAGATGCTGGACATCCTGACCCAGGAGGAAGGGGAGAGGGAGTCTGGAGAGACAGGACCCTGCATGGAGTATCTCCTACACCATAAGATACTGGAGACTCTCTACACCTTGGGCAAGGCAGATGTAAGGCAGTCATGCTTTGGTAACTACATGAACGATACCTCCAGGAAAATATACCTATCATGATACGGGACCTGTATACAGTATGTAGAGTAGTAAGGAAGGATGGGAGTTAATGGAGGATAGGGGACACAGCACTGTGTGCGCAATCAGCTGCAGTGTGGCAGTGAATTCAAAAGCTAACAAGTGATTGTAAGTGAATGCAAGACTCTTAAATGAATCTGTACTGAGAGCTGCATTTCCACAAGCGGTGGGGACCACCCAAATAAATTTTAACATATTCTGTTTGTATGATTTCCCATCAGTGTCCTCCAGGGATGAAGCAGCAGGTTCTTACCTTCTACACAAAGCTGCTAGCGCACATTCGTCAACCTCTTCTGCCACACATCAATGTCCACAGACCTGTACAGGTGAGAAGTGTTGCATTCTGGATTTCAGTGTATGTTTAACAGTCCTTTTTCTTCAGATTGCCCACTAACAGGTTATGTAAGTTATTTGTAACTGTTTTTTTGCGCCTGTGACAATCCTCTGTCAGAAACTGATCCGTCTGTGTGGGGAGGTGCTGGCTGCTCCTACAGAAAATGAAGAGATTCAGTTCCTTTGTATAGTCTGTGCCAAACTGAAGCAGGACCCATATCTTGTCAACTTCTTCCTTGAGGTGAGTTGCTATGACACCTGGGGGGGGGGGCAGCACATTCATTCTATTACTAGCAAAGGTCAGAGCCTTGCAGGATTTTTAAGCACATAGTAAAAAAAATATCTCTTATTTGCAGAACAAGTCAAAGAGACCTGAGACAAAGAGTCCTGGACAAACAGAGATGGGGAAGGAGAATGTGTTGGCTCCAGACACTGGTCAGTCTCTGGCAGAGGAACAGGCTGACTGCCCTGAGGAACCACAGGCTGCAGCTACTGCCTCCACCTCTAGTCCAACCACGAACAATAATAACAGCAACAATTACAATCTTGTCACCTCCCTGCTCAACCTCACAAAGAGCCCTGTAAGTAATCCCAATGCAGGGAACTTTGGGTGATTTACTCTAAGTAGCACATGTAATATATTTTTTCTTCATTTGAATTGAAGATTGTGTCTTCATGAGTTTTATCCTTTTCTCCGCATCTCAGGATGGCAGGATAGTGGTGAAGGCGTGTGAGGGCCTGATGCTGCTGGTCAGTTTACCAGAGCCCGCAGCTGCCAAGTGTTTAACTGAAAACACTGAGCTCTGTGAGCTTCTGACTGACAGGCTGGTCTCCTTCTATAAAGCCCTGCCACAGTCCATGGACCCCTTGGACATTGAAACAGTGGAGTCAGTCAACTGGGGGTAGGTTTCTGTCAAGTGTTTATTGTCTGTAACCACAAATTTAATGAAGTCAGAATTGTAATGACTTGTAAACACCACTTGGATACAGTTCAGTTGTGAAGTTTTGATTTAATTTGACTTAGCAGGTAGGCCTTAAATAGCATCCTTTGCTATTTTAAGTGTAGACAAGGGAAGAGTTGCATCAAACATATCAAACCTTTAAATATTTGTCTCTTTTTTCCCCCTCTATCTCTCTGTCAGTCTGGATGTGTATAACCTGAAGGAGGATGCTGCTATCTTCACAGGGAAGAGGGCTCTCATCTCCTTCCTGTCCTGGCTAGATTACTGTGACCAGCTCATCAAGGAGGCTCAGAAGGTCCTTAACCAGTGCTCACTCACTGTGTTTTGATGCATCATATTGTTGTCAGAATAGAGAGAATAAAAGAACTTCTCTCCAAAGTGAGTGCCACAGAAGGCTGAACCGTATTTTTGTGTTTCTTCACCGTCTTCCAGTCAGCAGCTGCAGTGATGGCAAAAGCAGTGAGAGAAAGGTTCTTTGTGTCCATTATGGAACCGCAGCTAATGCAAACGTAAGTCTTCCTTTGAATCATCAATCAATCATCCTTTATTGAAATCTTAGTCCTGTCTCAGTGTGTTTTGTGTCATGACTGCTCAGTAACACATGTGGTGTGTTTGTGGCTGCACATAGGTCCGAGGTGGGCATCCTGACCTCCACAGCCCTGCTGAACAGGATCATCAGGCAGGTGACCTCAGAGGCTCTGCTGCAGGAGATGGTTTACTTCCTGCTGGGAGAGGAGAGGGAGCCGGAGACTCCAGCTAGTATTGCTCAGACTCCACTCAGACACAGGCTCATCGAGCACTGCGACCACCTGTCAGACGAGGTTCTTATTATATTATTCAGGATGCACCTGGTCCTGCTAATGAATGTTCCTTTAATATCAATTATGTCTGGCTCATTAGACTCGTTTAGGCCTTTTTTATTACACCCTTACTTGATCACATTAATGTGCCTTCAGAAATGAGAATTATATATGCATAATTTCTTCTTTTACCCGTTCGATATTCAGAGGCTTTCTGCCCTTCAAGAGTTCTGAGCAATGAATCATGTGATTCACTAAAAGCACATGAATTTTAATTAGTATCTGACAGAGCTATTGCACACATTTTCATCACACAAAAGAGAAATGAGTCATCTCTCTGATGTTTGAAACAGCCTACTTTTTTGTCAGTGAGTAAATACTTGGCATGTTGCTTTGCGGGTATAGTGGGAGCTAAGCCTCGTTCCTCCTTCTCTGTCCCCAGATCAGCATCATGACACTGCGGCTATTTGAGCAGCTGATCCAGAAGCCCAACCAGCACATCCTCCACAGCTTGGTGCTGCGTAGCCTGGAAGAGAGGAACTACCTGGAGAACAAACCGCAGGAGGAGCGGGAGCCCCTGGAGAACGGGCAGCCCCATGATGCTGTGTAAGGACCTGCCTCTGACCTTTGACCTTCCTGAGCTGCCTTAAAACCCTCCATGGAGAAAAAAAAAAAAACTTTTCTGCACAAACACAACAGTGGAAATAAAGTGAATGCATCAACTAGCTGTGTTTTTTAGATGTGCCACCAGGTCATTTAAATATGCTTGTCAGCCACTCTTAACTTTAAATGATCACTTCTGGGGAAATTGATACATAATAGCTTGCTTGTTTATTGATGAGGTTGTTTTGTATATGTTATTGGTTTCCATGCAAAAAAAATTAAGTCACCAAATGCACCACTGTACTGGGTTTTCTTGAAATGATCATACTGTTTGTGTGGAGTGAGAAGACCTGAAGAATATCAGTGACGTTTGTATATCTACAGACATAGTCAACATACTTACAGATAAATTACATGCTTCTATTTTAACATGCAAGGTCCAAGAAAGACTGCATCTCCATTCACTCCCCACATTATAAAACAGAACTGGAAGGTGTCATGCAAGCCCTAAGAGTCCTAAAATTAAATCCTCCCAGACTACACGTCCCTCTTTTTAACAAAATGGACTTCTCACTTTTTGTGCCAGAATGGAGTATTAAAATAGTTTACACCAATACAACCAGTGGGTCAGACTTTCCTCAGAGTGGTTGAGAGATGTATAAATCCTTTGGAACAGATGTTTTGTTTCCACGTCAGTAGCACTGAAATTACATCATGTTCTCATAAATGTAAACACTTTTTAATGAAAGCATGTTCTTTCTCCAGAGACCTTGAGGAGGATCCACTTTTTGGTGATGACCCCTCTCCAGACAGCAGGCTGTCTGGTTCTGATTGGGTCAGCTCCTCTCCACCACAGAGTCCTGACCACTCAAAGTCTGACGGGAAGACAGAGGTCCACAAGATTGTCAACAGGTACACTGTCTGCTCATGATACAACATGCAGTGCGTGGAGCTCCTTAGTTTAAAAAAAAAAAAAAAAACTATTAATAATTATTGAATTATGTTGCTTGCAGTTTCCTGTGTTTGGTGCCCGATGAGGCGAAGTCGTCGTATCAAGTTGAAGGCACAGGCTATGACACCTACCTCAGAGACGCACACAGACAGGTACGGCTCATTCTGGCATTCAGTGTGTTTGACAGTAGCAAGGGGAGAATACTGGTTTGGTGTTTGTTCCTAGGTCTTTCATCATAATTTCTCATCATTTTATATGTGTCACTAGTAGAATAAATTCTAAGTGTAGGTGAATTGTTCTCCTCAGTTCAGGGACTATTGTGGGGTCTGCCGGCGGTGGGACTGGAGGGGAAATCCAAAGCCTTTTGAGAAGTGTAACTTGGACATCCCATTCTTCGAGGGCCACTTCCTTAAAGTTCTCTTCGACAGGATGGGCCGCATCCTAGATCAGGTCAGTTTGATCTACCTGATAGTAAACATCATTAGTAATACTGGCATCAGTCTGAATAACCACATGCTTTAGTGGTGAAATATATGTTGTATTGTTTATGCCCCACTAACCCACAAGTCTGAATAGCAAAGTGTCCTTTGGAAATCACAAATGCAGTTTTGGTTGTAATCACATAGTAATCACCACTTGAATCTAAAAAGATAGGCCTAATATACAGGAAAATAAGTATTTGAACACCCTGCTATTTTTATCCCACTTAGAAATCATGGAGGGGTCTGAAATTGTCATCGTAGGTGCATGTCCACTGTGAGAGACATAATCTAAAAAAAAGAAGAGAGCTGTCCAAAGACACTAGAGACAAAATTGTACACCTCCACAAGGCTGGAAAGGGCTACGGGGAAATTGCCAAGCAGCTTGGTGAAAAAAGGTCCACTGTTGGAGCAATCATTAGAAAATGGAAGAAGCTAAACATGACTGTCAATCTCCCTCGGACTGGGGCTCCATGCAAGATCTCACCTCGTGGGGTCTTAATGATCCTAAGAAAGGTGAGAAATCAGCCCAGAACTACACGGGAGGAGCTGGTCAATGACCTGAAAAGAGCTGGGACCACCGTTTCCAAGGTTACTGTTGGTAATACACTAAGACGTCATGGTTTGAAATCATGCATGGCACGGAAGGTTCCCCTGCTTAAACCAGCACATGTCAAGGCCCGTCTTCAGTTTGCCAATGACCATTTGGATGATCCCGAGGCGTCATGGGAGAAAGTCATGTGGTCAGATGAGACTTTTTGGTCATAATTCCACTAACCGTGTTTGGAGGAAGAAGAATGATGAGTACCATCCCAAGACCACCATCCCTACTGTGAAGCATGGGGGTGGTAGCATCATGCTTAGGGGGTGTTTTTCTGCACATGGGACAGGGCGACTGCACTGTATTAAGGAGAGGATGACCGGGGCCATGTATTGTGAGATTTTGGAGAACAACCTCCTTCCCTCAGTTAGAGCATTGAAGATGGATGTCTGGATTTTTTTTTTTAGATTATGTCTCTCACAGTGGACATGCACCTACGATGCCAATTTCAGACCCCTCCATGATTTCTAAGTGGGAGAACTTGCAAAATAGCAGGGTGTTCAAATACTTATTTTCCTCACTGTAGATAGGTCCTAAACTGGTTAGTCTAACTTTTAGAACCAGATTCCAGTGAATAAATTAAGGTATGTGCATGCACATCAGCACAAAATGTCAAATGAAGTCAGAGCTGTCATCTTTGTTTTAATTGATTCTTACCACAAACCCTTATTTCTTGCTGCAAGAGAAGAAGTTTCACTGCCATTTAGCATAAATGAGGTCCTCTAATGCAAAGGGGGGGAGAGAGAAAAATTGGGAGAAAATGCAATTGAGCTGCTCATCTTGCAAATAAAATAACAAAGCAAAAATAATGAGCTCCCACCATCAACTCATTTGACAAATGATGTTAGATGGGAATTATAAAGCTAAATGCACTTTTTGGCAGCTCTTGGGTTTCTAGTAGCATTTAGGAAATCAAATGTAAGAGGCAGTGCCGTATTCAAACTTCTCACTACTCTGGCACTTTATGTTATTAATTCACAGCAGTTCTTCTACACACACTCTAATCACCAGTTCATTTCCTGTGTAGCTTTATATATGATGCCCTCTCTGTCCTCTCTGTCCTCCAGCCCTACGATGTCAACCTGCAGGTGACCGCTGTGCTGTCCAAGCTGTCTTTGTTACCACACCCCCACTTGCACGAGTACCTGCTGGACCCTTATGTGAACCTGGCCCCTGGTTGCAGGTCTCTGTTCTCTGTCATCGTCAGGGTAAGACTCCTGTTGTGTGTGTGTGTGTGGTATCTTGAAGTGTTTTGCTATTGAAATTTTAACACGTAATCATGTTTGAGATAATTGTTAGAGAAACACTACTATAAGAACCAGTGGAGTCTCACTTGCAATTTATCTTGTGAGCATGCTGCAACTCGTGCACCTCTGTGCCTCTTTTGTTCTGTGATCAGCCCGACTACTTTCTTTTGAAATCTAGACCAGTAACACTCAGTGTAAAAGGCAGTTTAGAGGCCGGGGGAAGAAGCACATTTTCTTGTCTGTTTGTGATAATTACAGCAATGTCTCCAATGAGTGTAGTAATGATTTATTTCACCTTATTTACCTAGGGGATGGAAGCAGCGCTGTGGTGTTTCGCTAATTGTTTTTGTGTGTGTCAGGTGGTGGGAGACCTTATGCTGAGGATTCAGCGCATCCCGGACTTCACACCCAAACTGCTGCTCGTGAGGAAGAGATTATTAGGTCTGGAGCCAGAGGGCATCACGTACGTACTTCCACGTGGTTCTGTGCTCTTACCTGTTGAGTTAACTTTTGGAAGGCACGCCTGACCTTTCTGTCTGTCCTTCCTGTAGTATCGACCACATGACTTTGCTGGAGGGGGTGATCGTGCTGGAGGAGTTCTGCAAAGAGCTGGCGGCAGTCGCCTTCGTCAAATACCACGCAGCTGCCGCCTCCTCGCCGTAACCTTGCGGCGGTTCATCCATCTGCCTTGGCCAGGCAGACAGGTCAGGATTAAACTGGGCCTTTGGGGTGTGCAGGCACCGGTGGCACAGGGTCGGCAAAACATTACCACTAACTGCTCATCCTGCAAGACTGTTAAAGCCCACACGGACGGGTTCATCGCTCCCCCCCCCCCCCCCTCTTCTGGCCACTTGGGCTCCACCATAACAAGTGTGTGGTCTTGTTTTTGAGTAGGTCAGAGCACAGACACTGCCCGGCTAGCAGAGGAATAAGAGGAGGAGGATAGAGGTCAAAGTGCAGAGAGATGGTCACTGGACTTATTTTCAGCCTCTGCGTCCTCCCATCTTTCTTTCTTACCAGCCAAAAAAATATAGCCCTGTAATTATTATATCAATAAGAAAATGTTTGTCTATTTATTTTCTGTCCCGTTCTCACCCTTTTGTAAACATCATTGCCTTAGTTTGAAATCACACCTTTCAGTTACAGATGATTGTTTCCTTTTGAAACATTTTTATTTCTACTACTCATGCGTTGTCTGTTTGAAGACAAGAGGCTGTAGAGAAAAATGCCCACCACCTTCAAACCCCTCTATGTACCTGTAGTTACATACATATTGAGCTGCAGTATTTACGATACTGCACTCGTATTTTATATGCCAAGTCCTCTAATTTATTTGTTTGCTTTCATGTTGCCTTTTTAACTGTCACATTAGGATAAAATGTATTTAAAAAAGTAAGGACTGACTAAGCAGATTCTATGTACTTTATCTGCTTACCTTGTCTTTTCTTCAGTTTGTCTTTAAGTGCTTCTGCGCTCGAAGCTCACCTGTAATCATCACCACCCAAAGATGTCACCATCCGTCACATTTTGTCAAACGAAATGGTGAATTTTGCAAATGATGTGAATTTGCACACGGCTCTCATTGCATTGCACTCATTACATTATTCAGGTTCATTTATGCTTTTTATTTGTTTTTTGTTGCTTTCACGAAAGATGTCGTTGGCATTTGTGTGGGAAGAGACATCTTGTTTTTGATTCCACATAAGTTCTGATATTTTTATTTTCCAGACCCAGTGTTGCATTTCTCACACACCAGTGTTTATTTTATCCAGGAGATACTGTATTATTGTCTTTTACAACATTTATAATTCTCAATAATCAGTTTATACTGTTGATGGGAGGGATACGGAGCACCAAACCCTTTTATTGGATTTTGATCCCTAAAACAAAGCTGTGTCTACATAGTTATTCAACCAGTGTGATTCTAACTTCTTACTTCTAACTTTTTGTTGAAATTATCCTGTAATTCATTGGGAAAACGCAAAGATTAGAAGAAAGTCTGAACTAAACTACGTCATCCCCCAATATTGTTAATCATCTCATGACCCCTTCAATTGCTGTCATGGCGAGCTCTGACGTTAGTTCATAGGTTATCATGACTTCCTATGAGGTGTTTGTATTTACTGGCAGTATTACCTTTTCATCCTGATCTCGAATGATCACGGTGCTGTGCATTGTTGGAACGGGTAGTTTGCTTGTAATCAGTGATTCATTACGTTTGAATTGGTCTAAATCAAGATGCTACTTAATATAACCTTGATTCTTGTCTTCTGTTCCAGTGTGAATGTTTCCATGATTGGAAAGCTTGTTTGTTTGGCGAGGAGTTTGTTTATGTGTGAGTGTAACGACATATTATTGCAGCGGAGAATGGACGGAGTCATTCGTTGAAGCCTTGAGTCTTGTTTGTTTTTGTTTTTTCCCCATTTCTTCTGCTCTCACCTCAAACCAGGCACCTAAACAACATTATGCAACTGCTTGCATGGAATCAGATTTGCACATTGTCTTTCTCCATCTTTGTTCATAATGTAAAGATACAACACAAAAAGCTTTTGTTTGTTGTTTTTCTCCAAATGTTTTGTTTCATAAACCAAAAAAAAAAAAAAATGTAGGATGGTACCAGGAGTAACATTTCTATTTTAATGGGAAACTTTTTTTAAATTGTCAATCATGCACATTTTTAATCAACTCTTTCCAACGCGTTCTGTACATTTATATATTGTATGTGTATAATAGCAATAGAGATATACTACCTGGCGTAAATGCATGCTTATTCATAATTTTTCATTGTTGAAAGAAAGAAAGAAGGGAAAAAAAGGCAGTCCAGCCATCTGTGATGATTCCTCAGCTGTCAGCACTTTGTTCTTAGAAGACACTGACGGGGAGATACGATGCCTTACTTCACACTGTGGATCTCTGAGGACTCCTGGAATCGACGAGTAAGGGGTTTCTGATTCACTACGGCCTGTTGTGATCTTATTATGCCTCTCTCTTGTTACATAGACTTTGTTTTGTTTGTGAAGATGTAAAGGACTCTCAGTATAGTTAAAAATCTGATGCCAATGCATTTATTTTCGTGTGTCAGCTTGGACCAATCACTGTATGATGTTGCTGCGTCTTTTTATGTCCGTCGCTGCTTTTCTTCTGGTGTGAAATGGGATGAGTTTCATTATACTTCTTCTATCTCATGGCCAGTTTGATTTTGTGACTGTGCAATGCATAATTGAAACATTAAGGTAAGGTGCATGCTCACTCCTCCTGCCTCACAGAGTTCTTGTAAGTGATCACTGCAGTCTCCAGTTTGCTGAGGCACTGGCTCATTAATTCCTTCATTTCAACACGTGTTTCATTCAGGACAAAATGGTTTTGTTTAACATGCTCCGTCCCAATAAAAAAAAAAAGTTCTTCAGAAGGAGATGGTCATTGTTTAAACAGTTCATTGTGTTTTATGTTTTTATTACAAAATGTCTGTACAACAACAAAAATACACAAAATAACAATTTCTCTCAATGACGAGGTGAAAACCACAATCTTTTCAATAATCTTTTTTTTTTTTTTTAAATAACATTTTTGAAAAAACACCAGATGGGGCAAGTGAATGTCTATAACCTGTAATTGCTATACAATCAGCCCTGCAGGATGACATGACATCATGTATAGGAACAGACCGGAGAACACAGAGCGTGAAAATGACCTCTTGCCAGAGAATAACTGAACAGCCGTCAGCGTGGGTACTTTATTCTTTGTCATATTCTCTTTGGCTCCAAGCCAGCCACGCTCAGTCATCCAGCCAATTCTGTAGAAATGAGTCAAATATCTCACTCCCTGGGCACAGCAGAGGACTGTATGACCAAAGTCATGTGAGGTGGTCTGGAAATAAGTAAATCCTACATTTCCTTTGCCTTGCAGTGATTTAAAAATCAGCCATGGAAAAAGAGGCACTATGGTGCAGAAAGAAGGCTCTCAGTCTAATAACTCTTTCTCATTAATGATTGCTGAGGTACATACTGAGATTGCAGTCAGCTAGGGTCTTACAGTTTTAGTTCAAGGAGTATATTAACACTTGAAAGCACCTGAAGTCACTTCCAAATTAAGAGATCCTTGTTCTTAAAAAAGAAATATATTCATACTCATTACTACTGTAACACTACAGCAGAGCAACGTCAAGTGCTTCCATTACCAGGAAACACTAATGCTTTGAAGTGGAATTGCAAAGTCTATACAGTGTCTTATCAGGCAAGAGCTTTGTGTCCAATGCCCTGACTCAAGTCAGTAGTAGCATGACATAATTAAAGTTCTGCAGTCTAGAGCGACAGGTTTACAATGGATTTTTAAACAAAGTTGACAAAATTTATTTATCCGATGTCATGAAAACCTGTTTGTAATTTCCATCAGATTGTCATAGATTTTACAATTTCTACACTTGGGAAAGTGCCAGATCAGGGCTTCATTAGGAAGCCTCACATGCAGAAATGATGTCAGACTAAATGACCATGCCATCAGCTCATTGAAATCTTCCCAGCTAAAGTAAAGAATATGTTAACAGTACACCATACATCTTATGTTTTACATTTTGTGACTGAGCTACTTGATCCTGTTTGAGGGACAGTCCTACAAATGTCACAATCAAAAAAAAAAAAAAAGGTAAAAAAAAACATCCAGCGTTCTTTCTCCATCTTGTAGTGATAACTCCCAAAGGCTTGACAGTATCAACATGATGGTATATTCAATTAATTTACATATACATGTAAATTCATTTTCTTTATGCAAATCGTTTTCATGTACATACAAAACCACTACGTAAAAAAAACAACTACATGCCGTTTCACAAACTAAACCAGGCGAAAAATAAAAGTATCCATTTAGAAAAAAAACTAAACGAAAAACTATGTACATTTCCAAATGTCTCTTTAAGTCAATAAGCGTCTCCCCGCCCATTTACAAACCCCAGATATGCGTGCACACAGACACACGCTTGTGCACAAGTTGCTCACACTGGAACATTCAGACAAACAAATGTCTCTTTGGCTGGTGTGAAGCTGTGGCACCTTGCAGAGTGTGCGTACATGTAATTACACATTTGCAACAAAAAAACAACACGCTTACACACAAAAAAATAACCATCTAACGGCATAGAAAATATGTTCCGATGATGGATGTAGTGATATATTTCCTATGCATTTGCGAATATATATATATATTTATATACCAAAACATACTGTATAAGGGTCAGCCACACATATGCCCTTTGCTTGTGTGTGTGTGTGTATGTACTTTAATGTCACATTCAGAAGTGTAATGTGAAATTTTGAAGGAAGGCATCAATAAATAGAGACGTTGATCTGTCTGTGTGTGTCCCCGGGTCTGCTATGTTAAACAGCTCCATCCGTCCATCAGTCGCTCTTTGAGTTCTGTGTTGCGTCCAGGTTGACCACCTGGAGCTCCGTCAGGTTACTGCTGCTGCCGCTCGATTGCTGTCCAATCACCATCTGGAACATGACACAGCGAAGTCAGGAGACAGTACAGACAGCCGATCACAAGCCATTATATCACACAACACGGATGGAAATCCTGCTACGCTGCATGCTGGTGTAATGCTGTAATAGATGTTTTCTTTAATATTTATGTTACTTACTCTATAAAATCATGTTCTGTAGAGTGCAATTTAGACTATTAGGATAGATGTATTTCTTTAAAAGACCACTCCAAATATAAAATATAATCTAAAGTTCTATCTTTCCAGTTGTATATAATAAAAATACTAAAGTAAATTAATGCCCATGCCCTGCTACAGTGGTGTTTTGTTAAGTCTATTGCATGTGTATTTTGCTGCAAATCACAGTTAAAACAAGCTGCTAGCTGATGATTCACATTCATTAAAAGAGGCAACAGGTGACAACTCTGTGGCCTCTGTGTGCCAGTGCTCTGTTAGGATGCATTAGTGTGGTCACGTGGCATGCTGGTTGCATAGGGAATATGAGAGTTTCACTTGTAAAATGAAGATCTTGCCGTACTGGGTGTAGCTGCACCGCAGAGACGGGGATCTGGACCGTGCCGGGTGGTGCTGTGAGGAACACCTGAGAGACAGCACCTGAGGGGGGGGGGGCATCGTTTTTGCTCTGTAATTATTTATATATTACAAATTAATTTGTCGCCCAGTGAACGGTGTGTGCTCAGTGTCTCACCTGTGTCTTGGCCCTGCGCGTGGGACACCTGCATGGCAGAGGCACCCTGCGAGAAGGCGTTTAGCACAGCCAGCCCCCCGTCAGCCAGCCCCGGCGTGGACGCGTACATCACTGTGTGGGGGCTGGGGTACATCATGTGACCCGCCACAGACGTTGGCACTGACGAGGTGACGATGGTTGCTGGGAGACTTACCGTCGCTGGAAGGAGAGCAGGGGAAGGAAGAGGAAGAGAAAGCACATGTCACACGGAGGACAAGAGGTGTGTACATGAGTTGGACAGCAGATGGCGCTTAATATCTAATAAAATTCAACTGCTAACTCCTAGTTGTGCAGTGAGTAGTGCCACAGTAACAGTCCTTCAGGACACAATTCACTCCAAACAGGAGCAGAATGAAAAACAAAACAGTGCAAGCAGGAAAAATATTAAATAAAAATCATTTTAATGGATTTTCTTGTAAAAATCTGCAACAAACAAGACTTGTTGCTGCTGTATATCATTAAATTACATGATTTTTGGTAACTGCAAGACATTTTCTCATAATCTCTTTCCACCATCTGGAGCACCACGTTGCATTGTTTTAAAATCGAGCTGGTTCTCTAAAAAAAACCTCTTCCAGGGAGGTGTTTAGGAAACTTTAAGACGACCTGAAGGAGACATTACATTAACTAATTTAGCTGACGCTTTTATCCAAAGCGACTTCCATTTGCTATACATGTCGGAGGTCGCACGCCACTGGAGCAACTAGGAGTTAAGTGTCTTGCTCAGGGACACATTGGTGGATGTGTCACAGTGGGGAATTGAACCCAGTTCTACCACACCAAAGGCATGAGTCTTATCCACTGCATTATTACCACCCTTTCTTCACAGAGGGGATTTTGCCTACCGGTTGTGGATGCGTGGGACATCTCCGGGCTGCTGTCACTGTTGGAAGTGGACTGGGTGTTGTGGACCTGGATTGCCTGGAGCTGCTGGGGAACCCCTGCTCCTGAAGACACACAGAGGGAATACAGCCACTACAGTAAGTCATCAAACATCCCACACGGGGAGGATGGGGAGTTCAGCAGTGGGGGTGGCATATGGTAGCACTGGCAGTAGAGGCATTGGCAGTACTATTAGCTGAGATAGATCAGAAGAAGTAGTCGTTAATATTAGTAATCCTAGCATTGGGTGCATGATTATAGCCATGGCAGAAGAGGTAGCATTAGCAATACAAGCAGCAGCAGCTCTGTGATGATATGAATATGATTAGTATAAGCAGGAACAGTCGTGGCAGCATGCAGAGCAGGTCACCTGTGAGGGAGACAGCAGCAGGGAAGCGGAAGACAGCCTGCTGTCCCTGCTGTGGCTGCGGGGCGGCGGCCAGGGCCTGACCATGCTGCCCCTGGAGGGCCAGGGAGTGCTGCTGCAGCTGGCTCAGAGGAATGGTGGGGGTGCCGGGGGGGAGAGGAGTGCCTGCTGGAGGGGCACACACACAGGGGGGGAATAAGACTAAATGCGAAAGGAAAGTACAGGGGGAAAAAAAGTGCTAATAACTTCATTTCAGCCAGAGTACATTTCTACAAATGTCTACAATCTTTTTTTCCCCCTATTCAGTCAAAAGTCATCCATCTAGCAAGTTCTAGATAATTGGCTAGATAACACGACTACTGCACAACAAAGCAGGCAGCAATGTGAGTCTTTTTACTGTTCTAGTAATAGATATTAAAGGTGCCGTATGGACATTTGTCCATGTGTTCGTCATTTGCTTTGTTGAAAGGTTAGCGACACTAAATGGCCAGCGGGATAGCTGAAACCGATTGCAGGATGTGAATTGCCCTGCCCGTGTGCGCACCCTTGCGCATGTGCCCAATACAAACAAAACAGTCAAAAAGCCAAAAAAGCTTTGCTTCATAGAGTTATGTGGTCAAAACCTCCACTGGGTGCTTTTACATTGGTGTAACACTGTAAATCAAAGTTTAATAAAAGGTAAGTGAAAATAATGCAAATGTTCAATAACACTTAATTTTATTACATACAGGGTTGCTAAGTCAAGTGACACGTACTGCATGACTGTATTAAGTGGTGATTAAGTGGTTGGCAAGCACTTTAAGGCACTCAAACAAGTGTGTTCAAGTAATTTCTAAGAGATGTAAAAATTTATCAGCAAATCTGTTATGCGACATGTAATATTCAAATACTTCTAACAATATGTGACTTTTGTTTCTTTTCCAATGTTGTATTTCTTTTTGTTTTTGCTTAAAAATGACAGATCTTTTATTTTAGGACATGACTCTGGAGATTCACCCTCACATTTGGTCATATGCTCCAAAGACAGTTGCTGCAGTCGGGTGGGCAGACCCTGTCAAGCTGTCAACTGAGGAGCTTTTAGTGTGGGAGGGTGTGTTGTTCCACCTGGTACTGCTGCTATGTGCCAGACAAGTGGTGAAGAGGAGAGAGGGCGTGAGCAAGCAGAAGAGAGGGAGAGCGCAATGGAGGGAGGGAGAGGGTGGAAAGAGAGGGAGGCTGAGAGAAGGAAGAGGAAGGAAGAGAAGGACAGAGAAAGAAAGGGGGGAGGAGGGGGTGTCCCTTCAGCTGTCAGTCAAAATAACATACAGGAGCCATTAGTGTGCCCGTTCGTTCAACTGTGGCAGGGCGCAGACAACTAACACACTGTAACAACTAGCTACTGACATTACTGCCAGTTCCTGGAAAATACAATGCTGAGTCTGCTTCACCGTTACAACACAGACCGTATACGATTGCATCATCAGCATTTAAGTGTCAACCAGCCATTTCAAATTGTTCGTCCTTCTTATACAGATGAGATCATATGAAATTAAATTATCATGAAACTTAAATATTCTTCATGTCTTTGGGGGAATTGTGACCTCTTGACCGCCCGCAGACGTAGACCCAGTATTTCCCAGCAAACCCAACATAAAAAAGGGAGTGTAATGAATAATTACTGGGGCAAGCCAATTTAGAAACTTCAGGGATCCCCAAATCAGAGCCTGCTGCCCTTAAATCTTCATCGAAGTTGGTGCGGTACAGATCCCATGTGTTTCCGTGTCTGTGAAGTCTCCCTTAATGAAGGGTCAAGTCTAGTTCAGACCACTCTGTCACAAAGCTCCGGCTCCACAACGTACGCCTCGATTATAATTTCTGCACAAGCCACCGATCCTTCATTGAATATTCATGACTAATTATGGGCCGTGTTCGTCAGCCCTCATTGCCAGGTCTATTGTGTCCCTCTCACCTAATTATTCCTATCCCCATCCCCAAGTGACAATCAAAGGCAGGCCCAGCCGCCAATAGACGTGGCTTCCCTGGATACTGGGGGCTTTGTAAAACCTGAGTGCGGTGAGTGTTGGTGACTGGCCATGAGGGGCTGTTGTGTGATGTAAACAGCTCGAAGAGAGAGAGAGGCACGACCACCCCAAGATGACGGCTGCGGTCATGGCCCAGTGCCATTCAAATTCTAATCACCTAATAAGCTAGACAACACGGTGACATTAACAAAACATGAACGCCTGCAGATGAAGTGTCAATTTGATTCTAAAAGGATGAGGTTAAGACAAACGCTCCATAAAGAAAATTATAAAGAATTGTAACAGAGCTCAGGATGTTGGTTTTGTACACATACCGGGCATAAAAGTGAAACCGCCGGGCAGCTGCATGACCCCCGTGGAGGCACCGGTCTTCAGGACGGTTCCGTTGGCACTGATGTTGCTGCTGGCGGAGACGGGCGCCAGGTAGTTGGTGATGGGAAACGAAGGTCCGCTGCTCACCTGCATGGTGGTGGAGGTGGTGGGTACTGTGGACTGGGTGCTGCTGGTAGTGCCTGGTAGACTGGCTACCGTGAACGTCGGCTTCAGTGTGTCCTGTGGGAGAAAGCAAACACTGAGTAGGAAGACAAGGGACGAACATTTGATTAAATAAATTAGTACTGGATTATGTCAAGGAAGAAGACGACTTGCAATACCCACACTTTTTAGTATGTCAGAAAAAGATTTAGTATGGCCCAATACATAGTTTACCAAATGCAGTGTGCCACAAATACCAGGACTATTGCATCTGGTCACATTTTGCAGTATGCAAGCAAACATGCTTTCCTGGCTATTCTGACCCACAATCCTCTGCACAGCATGAGTAGTATGTCCCAAATATATGCATACTGCATGCAACAGTACGTACTTCAAAGCAAAAAGAAAAACTATGCAGCATGAGTTGAGGAGTTTCCCAGCAATTTAGGTACTTCCCTAAACTCCGAGGACTCGCAAAGAGAATGACGACAAGTTAAGCGGCAGAAGCTGAGATGTCTTGACGAGTGCAATTGAACTTAATGTGTAAAATCAGTGGAGTGCCCCTTTGAGATTCTATTTTACCTGGAAGATGATAGTATTTCAAACTGATGCACTAGTACTTGCTCCATTCTGCTCTAAGCAATTTATTGCAGTGTCTGCAAAAGCAACATCAGAAGAGTTTTATATGCGGACACCAAAAACAACACCATTAATAGGGCTTTTCCTCCTTGAGCAACTGAAAGCAGGGTATAATACTTATACACTGCACTATTTTCAGGGATCAATGGATGGATGACAAAAACCAGAGTGGGTTTTAATAGACTGAGGGTGAGTGCAAATGAGGGTGAGGGCAAAAGACATAAACAAGGTAGATGAACAGGCTGGGATCCCTCTAATTGCAACCATATGTAAAATACTAAGCAGTGTTTCTCTGAGCAATTCCATTCTTAAGTCTTAAAAGAGCAATACATTGCATTAAGCTGGAGAAAGAATTTTCCAGTTGCCAACACTGAATGTAGGAAATAGTGGTGATAGAAATCCTGTTCAAATGCTACTCCAGAATACATAATGCCTGAGAGAGAAAAATATATACAAATCATACCAGCTGTGTAGGAAAATAACTATGTATCCTCTCTGAATACTGCGACACACACACCTGAATACTCACAGCATCATCCAATCAATCCAACTCCACTAAAAGGAGTAACATACTTCTTAACTTCCTTCCACTCATATTTTGTTGAGTTTCCATGACAACTAACTGACCATAACCAACATGGCATCTCAGTAAAAAGCGTAGAAATCAGGCAGATGACACGCTCACATAAACTTAAGATCAAAAGGAGGTGAGACGTAGCATCGTACCGTACGCTAATGTGAACATCCATTGAACAACAGAGCAGGATGTGTTGGTGAGTGGGCTGCATGATAAGAGCAAGGTAGGCGTTAGGCCAGGACTATAAAGCACATCTAAACCTACCATGCCTGTTTCTACGCACTCACACACACACTTATCGCTTGATACTACTACTGATCTGTAATAGCAGTATGGGAATAGGCCTACACATTAGAAGGCAAGAAAGAGCTTGCATTTCCTGTGGGTTCAATGCTCTTTGAGGGTTTGATTAAACATGGATACAGAGACATTGCGGGAACACATCAGTAGAGGTACAATGTTCTATATTGATTATGTTAACGAGGAGTACGATCACAAGTGGGAAAACTATGGGAAATGTGACAAGGCAAGAGGAAGGGCCCTTCATGAAAGAACGGGAGCAAGTCAATACAAATTCTGTGTCCCAGTTCAATGGCTTGAGCATCTGATTCTCCATATAGTACAGAGTAACACACTGTCCCATTTCAAAGGATCCTCCAAATCTGGCGAGGAAACGCAGCCTTATGTTGCCCGAAATATTGAGGACACAACTGGTGTGTCCTTTGCAGTACTCAGTATCCCAAAATGTGAACTCTGCTTCGAGTCCAGCCAGGGACTTATGTTGTATGTCATCATAGATGTCATTAGGGATGGGGATCGATACCCGGTTCTAAAAGGGTATCGATACTGCTATTGAGACTAGCGGGTCCTATAATGTAACGTTATGTCTTGAGCGTCAAAATCTGGTTTAACTTGAAAGGTATTAAACAGGCCCGGGACTGTTTGTCATCAGGCTGCAGCCTCTGTTGCTCTCTGTCAGCTTCTACATAGACACACACAGCGGCCAGCAGAGAGAGACGCCGCTCTGTCACGGTGAAGTTAAGTTAGGTCCAAACCACTGAGTTGCTGTGTTGTGTGGGTGCTGCTAGTAAACAGTAAAGCTGTGATGAGTGATCAGTATTTTTAAAGCAAATTTTCAAAATATCTGTTTCAATATTTTAAAAAGCTCCGACAAATTTTTAAGACCAATGCTGAGTGTACTTATCCAAGGGTCTTCACTTCCATAGTCCTCTAATGGTTTCACAGTTGATAAAAAGAGAAGGAGCAAACACGTAGTATAAATATGTGTATAATAAATAGTTTGTTAAACTCTGTGTTACTTGAATATTTTTCAATGTGCTCCTAAGTTTCTTTGTGTGCTAAATTTTTTCATTTAGGAAACATGTGCTCCTTGGGATAAAGGTTAGCGTAGAACTATGGTCTGTAGTCTTAAAATTTGGCACATTGTAAACTCAGCTGCTGGCTATAACAAACCAGCCGCTCGACCAGGTAACGTTACCTGCAGGCAGTGAACACTGCAGAGAGGAAGAAGAGGAGGGACTGATACAGACCAATGTCTTAGTTTTTATTCCATCTAAACGTCACACACTATTGTGATGTCAGATATTGAGTTTATATGTAGTGACTTTGCTGTTGTAAACATTAATGTTGCTGCTCTAGAAACAACATTTAGCTGTATTTAAAATATTAAAGTCTAATCCTATAATCAATTTAAAAACAGCCGGGCAGTTAATATGCAAACTTATTTTATTGCAAGTCATGTCATCTCAATATATAACAATGTTATTGCACACTGAATATTTTCCTCATTCCCTGCAAGCCTAACTCATGCCCGTTGGGTCTGGTCTTACCAAATAACCGTCACCAAATAATAGTATCAATAGTGGTATAGATAAAGAATTGGATCGTTAAGCAGTCTCAATATCAATAAAATTAACGTAACGTACCCCATCCCTAGTTGTCATAGTTCAATAGTCATGGAGAATACAACATTGCGAGAACAGTTGTATAATGTCCTCCAAGAAAATGAATAACCCTGATGATGTCATTACATCCTGGTGATGTCATCAGAATTACATGGGCTTGAGCATCGAGACTTTCACAGAAAGTCTGTGTTACAAACTGAAGGGTGTGGAATTTGAAAGATGTGGGCAGGGAGAGTCTAATAAAAAGATGCTGTCTGTTTTATAGGGGCAACTACTACTGCTCTGCTGGTTTAATTTTGACAAATCCTTTTTTTTTTTTTTTTTTTTTTAAATTCCTCTCCTAAAAGTCTACCAACTTCATTAAATGTGCAGTACTTAATCAGTAGAGCATGCCTTTAATCACTGGGCGATACAGATAAATTAAAGTTGTCTGTATTTATTATCAACCTGGTACCCGATCTGTTAGTTGTCCATCATGTATCATCAGCGAAATGTTACGCACTATAAACTCTGGTACCATGGAATTTGGGTGGTATATGCACCAGGGGAGGCCAACTTACTTTTGACAAACATGAAAATGGTAGACGTCATTAGTTTTTGGTTCCGAAGGTGCAGCAGTATAACAGATGAGGAGAGTGAATAAAACAGGTTCAGTACTGAAAACTCTGCACCACGTGTCACACCACACAGGCTTACAATGAGCAAGCGATTGGAGTGCTGCAGCCTATAAGCTTGAAATTCTGAAAAGGCACATTCATATTAACAACAGAAAGGTAGTGTAGAAGCAGGCCAGGCCAACTTCTCCTCGCAAAGCACTATTGGTTTTTATACGTGACTAATTACATGGGTCAGAGGTGGAGAATCCAGCAGGGACTCCACTGATAAGGCCGTCCAGTCACACACTACCATGCAAACATGTAGCTGAAGCTACTGTAATGACGGGCTCCCAGTCTTCAGCCACATTACAATTTACTCACATCGTAATATTAAAGATAGCCTGCTAGTATTGCTCACTGCAATGACTAAACAACAAAAAAAATTTGATGAGTTAAAAGGTGTCAGTTAACTCAGTCTCCTGGGCCTCGTGACGTAAAAATAGTTAAGCAAGTGGTGTCTTATACAAGCTGCTCTGAATCCACACGAGTATACAAAACCAAAACTTCGCAGTGCTAAGAAGGCAGTTAGTTGGTCTGCAGCTCAGTTCCAGGCCCTGCTGAAGGGCTCTGACAGTCCAAGGTCCTTTACCTCTTTAATTAAACAGCAGCTGGAAAGTCAGAAGGGGGAGGGCCACATAGAATAAGCACAGAGTAAGTGTTATTCGTTATTCTTGTATATTTTGTCAGTCTATCCCATATTCATATATTTATGTCAACTGTATATTTGTCTTTGTTTGTCTACGTGTAGCACCTAATTTCAAAAACAAATTCCTCGTACGTGTAAAAACTACTTGGCAATAAAAGCTTTTAAAAGAGGCGTCAAAGTTGTTAAGCCCTTTCAACCAAAAAGGAAAACTTAATAAATTCACACAACAATTCCTGAACATCTACCCGTCATTCACCACAGAGTGATTACTGACAGTCAGTCCACGACATTGCTGTTACCACCTCCTCATTCTCCCAGGAGACACAAGTCAATAAGAACAGTTCTGCATCACACTGGAGATAAAGTACGTCAAGAAAGCTATCAGTCTTTTTTACATTTCCCTCCCGTTTTCCCCCTCTTACTGGGTCTGAAGTGGGGCTGACTGATGCCGTCGGCCTTGTCCACTTAAGTTATATATCTTTAGTTTGTCTTCTTTCTTAAATTACTCATTTCATTTTTTCCCCCCTTCATTGTCTTTCTTTCATTTCTTCTGTAATGTATAAATGTGTCAGGATAAATTAAACAAGTGATGAATCGGACAACTTGTAATTTAAAAACCTGCGATAAAGAAGAGG